AGAATGAGCTCGCTCTGCTGAATTATTCTCTCTTAAATCGTAGCTCATAGTTCTTTCTCCTCTTTGTATACGTTTCTGCTTTTGACAGTGTGAAAGTGCGTGTGTGCCTGTCTCTCCACCCCTACCCCCCCCCTTTCTCGCTGTAAGAAAAATGCTGCAAACTTGTTGTAAAATGTTGTAAACTAAATTACTTGTAGCAGATTAAATGACCCTGACAGTACCTGGCAATCGTCTAGGCACGTCACTGATGGCAGGCAGACCTGTGGCTCGGCTGGAGGAGAGGGGGGTGGTGGAGTGGACCGAGGGGGACGCCATGGGACTCAGGTAGGACGGATACGTCTGTTCGTACGACCAGGGAGGAGAGGACTGGGACTGACGAGGGTCTGAAGGGGAGAAACGGAGGGAGAGAGGACAGAAATGGAAGTGGGAAAGAGGGGGGGACGATTACAGAAAGACGTATAAAGAAAACAAGACAGGAAAAGAAAGGAAGAAAGAAAGAATTACCACTGGCCCACAAGCTTGTTCAAATATTCAGATTTTTTTTTTGGGAGGGGGGCGGGAAGGTTGGCAACAATAACACAACGAGCTGCGGGCTTGATCTGTCGCTATGCTTCTCCGCGCCTGTGTTTAGGGTTAAATATCACTCGGGCATGTTATGCAACATTTTTTAATAATAAGACTTCTAATGTTTACCTTTTAGAGAGAAGATCTTCCTGTTTGCCTTGTAAAACTGTGTGCTCGCAGCTGAGGCACAGAGAGCCTCGCTGGCACTCAGCCACGGTGTAAACACACCGGCAGACAACCGCAACACTTTATCATTGTGTCTGTGCGGCAACAAGGACGCAGAATGGAAGCTGATTGGGACAGAAAGTATATGTGTGCGCGTGTTTATGTGTGCACGACAAAACTAAACTATTTGATTGTTCGCTTTCGAGTGATTTCTTTCACTGTTTTTGTCAGATCACGGATGGTGAGGAGGCATGCCAAAAAACCCAAAGAAACCAAACAATCTTATCAATCAAGCAGCACGTGTTGTCCAGTGTACAATCGTCACCCCGCGCTGCTTTGCTGCAAAACCGTGCCCTCAACGATCCGTCGAGTCGCAACACAAAACCGTGACAGAGATTAACTAAGAGCTAAATGACGACGTGTGACGTGCCTCCAGAGATTTGGGCGATCGGGTAGCAGCCATCCCAAACCGTGAGAGATTTTGTTACCTTCTAAGATTGATAGAGTGATGGAGCAGAGAAAGACAGATGATCTCAGAGGCACCGTGCTTGGTGTTTTGTGGCTCAGGACGTGTCTGAGGCTCCAATTGGGGTTTAATATTTCACCTTACATATAGTAAACGATGCTCAGTTTGTGACTCAGCCTGCCTGTCCAGGAAAAGCATTGCACGTATTGGACACGCGCCTATTCCATGCGTCAACTCGGTTATACTTTCTTGGAAGGGAAGCGATGTGAAAGACGTCAAATTTTTAAAAATAAAAATGCCCGCTAACTCCTTTAAAACCTTCCTTTCCTTGTGTGCATCCACAGTTCAAAGCATGTGTGTCTGTGTGAGGATTTCTTCACACGTGAAAATACGAAGACTTTTAAAATACAATATGGAATTTTGGCAACTCAATTTTGCAGGATGACAGCAGAGTATGATCATATCATGTTCAGCAAGGAGGGTTTTGGTATCCTAGAGCAGCGGTCCCCAACCTTTTTTGCGCCACGGACCGGTTTATGCCCGACAATATTTTCACGGACCGGCCTTTAAGGTGTTGCGGATAAATACAACAAAATAAAACTAGTACCGGTACCGAAAAAAAGAAGATTTATTCATAACACACGTGAAAAGACCCAGGAAAACCGAGTCAACGATAAAAACAATAACAAAATAACACTGAAAACCGATAAAAACCCTGAAAACCATACATTTCACACCTGAGCCTCAACTCTCGCGGCCCGGTACCAAACGACTCACGGACCGGTACCGGTCCGAGGCCCGGGGGTTGGGAACCCCTGTCCTAGATGACACATACACACACAAAGCTTGGGCAACAGCAAAATATTTGTATTTGAAACTTATAACAAGGAACTATAAAATCTCAGAGGTTTAAGATCAGATAAGGAACAGCATGCTAAGAGATCCTGTGCATGCACACTTCCTGGACTCTTCCAGCGCCTGGATTCTCCATCAACACCAGGAGGTTTGTATAAGCTGTCCTTGGCGGCTCACCTGTTATCTGCGTCTGTCCCTGTGGGTTGAAGGAGTTGGCCGCCGTGTTGAGAGCCGGCCGGGGAGCTTGTGTCGGAACTGCGACCCTCACCCTCATCCTCTCCAGCTCGCTGAGGCGGTCGGAGAACAGACCGGTTTTGGGAGGATCCTCGAGCTTCTGACGATGCCCTGCAGACACAGAAAAACAAAACGAAGCACTGTTATATTGACGGGACGCAGGCAGTAGCGGAACAGCCATTTAAACACTGACTAAGTGCTCCGATGTTGCCTGCAAAGAATATTTTCATCATTGTGAAAGAAAAGTTCTGAGCAACGTTCAACTCTTAGGTGGTTTGCTGCTCCTGAACCTTAGAGGCTCGCTTCCCGATAAACACAGTTTGTACCCTAAACAAGGAAGAGGTGCAGGCGCATTTGGGAATGGTGTCCCAGACCCTGATAAGTAACAAAGTCGTAGCAAATTCCTTGGATCTTTTTGCATGAGAATAAAAAGAGATGTTCTGATGTATGTTAATTTTTAACCTGAGGCTTCTTCCACTAGTAAACACAAGCTCTCACGCCATTGCCCCATTATCCCCACAGGAGTCATAACCTATGCCAAATATATTATGCATTTTCTCTTCCTGCATTCTTTTACCAATACTTTTACACCCTTTATATCCCCGATTCTATTCCACTCTCTCAGCCTGGTAACTCTACACTCCTCCAACATACAAACACATATGCACGCTGCTAACACATACAATTTAGGTTGTACACAAATGCAAGATGATGTCTGAGCCTGTCTTAGCAGTCCTTTTGGCCTTGTAGTGGGAACCAGTGCAAAACCTGCCCAGGGCCCACAGGTGTAGATTATAGTTTAGTAAAGGTGGGGTAGAGAGAGAGGCCTGGACGCACACACACACACCCACACAGTTCTCTTTAACACCGACACAGCCCTGTGTCAGTGTGTCTGTCTGGTCTTGCACTAGTTCTCCTGTAAAGGCGGTAAAGTAAATATCAAACAGAGGAGAAACTCCTGCTGTGCTTGGCAGGGCTCCAGCTGGCTCAGGCAGAAACAGCGCGCTACTTCAGAATCCTGTCTAACCTGACTGCTGCCTGAGCTGGGAACAAAGGCCTGCCAATACTCTTATAACACCGGGTGGGTGCACAGGAGAGGGCGAACAAAAAAGAGCTTTAAAAAGAATCATCACTAAGGCATCATTAGAGAGATCAAAGAAAAATAAGAGCTGCCCCGCAGCCTAACTATGTGTACTGATGACATCCCAGCTGAGGGGCTCCGCTGCACGTCGTATCCATCTTTCCTGTTTGTGCTGATTATCTAAGTTTGTCGTTTTGTGTTTATTCAACTAAGACAGAAATTCTTTTAGAAACCGCCCATAACAGTCGAACATTTTTCCACTACTGCAACAAAGCATTATTTCAGCCTCGGTTATGCTGCTACAAACCATGTGACTCTCTCACAACAAATTAATTTACTCTGGAACAACTGCTTGGAACTTTAATACCAAACAGTGGTGCAATGAAATTGAGACTCGAGAATGGCGGCAGAGAAAAAAAAGAAGGCAGCCAGTGACAGTCAGACAGACCATGATTTTTATTACAATGACGTTACCGGACTGGCATCATCCAGCTCAAAATAAATAGACAATCTCATCATCGGTCTCCTCTAGCTGCTCTGGAAAGGAGAATAATAGCGGCTACTAAAAGACCTCGGCTTATTGAAGACTTTATAACATAATTCAAGCCCATATTTCATTAATAATATTTCCCCATCGTTCCTGCAGATAATTTGTGCCTCTCGCTGGCATTCCTCGTCTCTCTGTGCAAGCTGCGCCCAGTCAATCATAGCGTTTCCATTTTCAACAGACCCAGTTTCTATTCTAAAAAAGCCTCGGGACACAGAGCAGGCTTTGTGCACAGCCTGTTTCCTAGTGATGGGAATAAATAGCAATGGGAGACCATAGGGGATTATGGGAGACAGAGGGGGACAGGCGCGAGCAGGGAGGCAACGCCGGCGAGGGAGAGACCCTGATGACCAGTAAATTAAGAGCTCTGGGCTGGTTAGGCGGCGCAGGCTCTGTGAGGAGTGCTGAATGGTGAAACAGTTAGGGAGACTTTAGGATTTCAACATATTTGTCGACGATCCCAAAATATAGACAGATGTTTAAGAAGATAAAAATGATACTGACACGACATACAACAAGCTAACTTCACTTCTGTTACAGTTTCATTCAGCTTCCATCCTCAGCCACCGTAAATGTCAACAAATCTATGGATGACACTCTGTTTTAAAGGAAGCCTTTGTATTTTTTCCTCCTATAGGAATGCTGCATGTCAACCACCACATTAAGGTCCAATTTACACTCCAACCAGCCAGACCTCAAGTCCATTAGTTTAGCAGGCCTTGACAGTAAATACAGTTTTTCATGAGTTAATTACACCTTTTAGAGGACAACTGTTGCCAAACACAAGATGTCTCAGCTGTTTTATCGGAACCCTAGCAGGGCGGAGGAATGAGCCGGGGGTATTTAAAGGAGCGGGAAAGGCGGATGATTTCACTGCCGTAGGGAAAGTCCCTGAGATTCCCATCATCCCTGTGAAAACAGCGGAGATTTTCGATAGCGCCTGCCACTTCCCTGCCCAGCCAGCGCCCGGAAACATGGACAGATTCAGACCAGATGTGAACAACTCGCACACACACGGAAACACCAGAAACGCAGAAAAAACAAAAGGATGTATGGATACACACTCCTACTGCATGCGCAATCATGCGTGTTTGCACTCAGCCACTACACACTTAGTCACACACACAAACTAAGATTTAGAATGATTAGATAACACCTCTATAGATAGTATCTCAACTCGCACGATTGCACGCTGATCCTAGGATAGTATTATTTCAGCCGTCCAAGAGAAATAAGTCTGGATCCAGCTCACCCCTGCTGATCTGATAACAGTTAGTAAGAGCAAGTAGGCAAACACAATATAAGTCTTCCATAATTAATGGCAGCATTAGATTGAATCTGAGCCTGAGCACAGAGATCTTTGACTAATGGTTGGCTGTTATGTCCTGGCTGGGAATATCCCTCAAATACCGTATACATTTCTTTTAGCCGGATAGTGGTTTGTGTAGGGATTTTGCATCGTGTAGTGTAACAATGTACTTTTAAAAAAGCTTCAGGAGCTTCAATAGTTAAAATATTAGAAATGTTTGAAGAATTTTGTGCCTTTTTTATGAATTGTTATAGCAAATATATGTACACGTGAAATTAGAGGCAGACAGCAAAGCTTATCAAACACAGGACACTGGTGAAACAGCTAGGCTAGGCTAGGCTATGCTAGGCTAAGCTAAGCTAAGCTAGGCTATGTGCAGTGTTAACAAATTTTGTACAGATTAAAAAACAAGATATAATATAATAATTAGTGCATGCAGGAGGTGGTGACAGGCAGATTTTTGTTCCTAATGGACAGTCACAGGTCTTTATGCTTATCTTAGATAATGTCTCCAAGCTAGAGACAGATTTTATTGACGTGCCAGTTCAGTCTCTGCTAATTAGCTCACCCCAGCTCTTCTCATATCTGGCTGGCGTTATGGCCGGGTTGCTATTATAACAGCCCTCGATATGATTCAGCTACTCTTCATCGCATCCTCAGATGTGGGTGGCTCCGTCTGACAGGATGACAGGAGGCCCAAACTAAACAGTACCAGCAGATCTGCTCTGCTGCAATGGTAAACTCACCGACGCAGCAAAGCAGAACAAAGACTACCTACAGTAGCTGCAGTCTAAACAGGGGACCTGGTGTTTTCCCCCCCCCATAAATTAAAACATTGTACAGCAAAGAATCTTAACTAAATCTAATTTCATGGTGTAATCTGTAAAAAATAATAAGTGTGGGAGATGTTATTGTTTTCCCCCCATAAAAACAATCCAGTAACCATTGTGGTCCTATATACTTTAAAGCCTGTTAGAGCAGGCTGGTTATTGAGTTATTGCTTTCACTGTAATGTTTGCAGAATAATTATAAACCTTAGCCAAACAAGTTCAGAGCTTAGACATATTACCACAGCATTAACAAGAATACTGTAACAGATTACTGTTATGAACTTTTGCATTTGAGAGTTAATAAAAATGTGAAAATGACTTGACTTGAGCTTCAGGTTCTAACCTGTGAATGATGCAATAAATGACGGCCAGGTTAGGACCCCTGCTGAATAGTTAGTAGGCCACAACCGCTACACCAAAGCTATCAAATTGTGCGCTTAACATAACTGTCGCAGACCGCAGCTCCAGTACAGTTCAACAAGTCAAAAGAAGAAGCTGCACGACACACCTTTGTTGGGAATTCAGATGTCAGCAATCAGGCAAATATTTGACACGCAGTAGGAGTATTTCAAGGATGTTTCTGCAAGTCACCTGACTCTCTGAATCAAGCTCACTTCTCTTTTATTTAGCTAATCGTAGTTTTCACTCTAAAACAGTGGTGGTTTCTAGCTTTATGAAAAGAAACTGAACTGATCTGGGTCATCCTTCAACACTCATATCTGGATAAAATTCTTTCCCTAGCAGCGACAGGGTCATATAGACCAGAGGGGGGAGGATCCTCCCATCCTCCCAGCTTAAATCTGTTGGAAACACTGAGAAGAGTTGGAAAATAAGTCTACAAGTGAGTCAGGTGTGAGTCTGCAATGAGCTGATATTATTGCGTAATGCACAGCTGTCTGAAAAACTTGCTAGCACCATTTGAAGTAATTGATAAGCAAAGAAGCATGCAATTTCAATGGACTGGACAATTTGAACTGATCCCAGATTACCATCATTACTCCTGGCTATAGCCTACGCCCGAGGCTGGAATCGACTGTCATTGCCTATCAAGAAGTGTATTTTTAGAACGCTGATCTGTTCATTTAAAGCTCCTCCTCCTCGAACTTATCAAGTTTCAAGTGTCACCACAGAAACATCAGTGGGAAATTCTCCTACCTCAAGCCTGACTAAGTAAAATCTGAGGAAAATGCAGAGCAACAGAAAATCCTGAATAAATGGAATAATTTATATATTTGGTGTCACATCGTGGCCTTTAAGCCCTTCAGTCTGGTTTATGATCACCGGGAGAGCCTGGATGAATGTATCACTGGGGCTGATTCAGACCCCCCACCTCTCCCCCAATAC